TCTTTGACATTGGTCTTAGCAGTATGTTTTTGAATACCATGTCTCACCAGGCAAGAGAAAAAAAATAAAAAATAAACAAATAGGATTACATCAAACTAAAAACTTATGCACAGCAGAAGAAACCATAAACAAAATGAAAACACAGCCTAACAATTGGGAAAAGATATTTGCAAACATACAACTGATAAGAAGTTAATATCTAAAATATAGAAAGAGTCCATACAACTCAACAACAAAAATACAAACAACCTAATTAAGAAATGGGCAGAGGCTCTGAAAAGACATCTTTCCAAGGAGATATACAGATGGCCAACAGGCACACGAAAAAATGTTCAACATCACTAATTATTAGGGAAATGCAAATCAAAACTACAATGAGATATCACCTCATGCCTGTCAGAATGGCTATAATTAACAAGACAAGAAATAACAAGTGTTGGAAAGGATATGGAGAGAAGGGAACCCTCATACACTGCTGGTGGGAATGCAAACTGGTGCAGCCACAATCGAAAACAGTATGGAGAGTCCTCAAAAAATTAAGAATAAAACTACCATATGATCCAGCTATTCCTCTTCTGATTTTTTATCCAAAGAACATGAAAACACAAATGTGAAAAGATATTTGCACCCCTATGTTCATTGTAGCAATATTCACTATAGCCAATACTTGGAAACAACCTAAGTGCCCATCAATAGACCAATGGATAAAGAAGATGTGGTATATATACACAATGGAATACTAGCCATAAAAAAGATGAAATCTTGCCATTTGCGACAGCATGGATGGATCTTGAAGGTATAATGCTAAGCAAAATAAGTCAGGTGGAGAAAGTCATATAGTATGTAATTTCACTCATAAGTGGAAGATAAGGAAAACAAGAACAAAAAAACAAATAAACAGAGAATAGATTGGTGGTTACTAGAGGGAAAGGGAGGAGGGAGGAAAAAAATTGGGCAAAGTGTCTGAATAGATATTTTTCCAAAGAAGACATACAGATGGCCAATAGATTTATGAAAAGATGCTCAACATCACTAATCATCAGGGAAATACAATCAAAACCAAAATGAGGTATCACCTCACACCTGGTAGAATGGCTATTATCAAAAAAAAGAAGAACTAACAAGTGTTGGCAAGAATGTGGAGAAAAGGGAACCTTGTGCACTCTTTGTGGGAATATAAATTGGTGCAGCCACTATGAAAAACAGTATGGAGTTTCCTCAAAAAATTAAAAATAGAACTATTAGATGATCCAGCAATTCCATTTGTGGGTATTTAACCAAAGAAAACGAAAACATTAACTTGAAAAGAGATATGCACCCCTATGTTTAATGAAGCAGTATTTACAATAGCCAAGATATGGAAACAACCTAAATGTCCATTGATGGATGAATGGATAAAGAAGATGTGATATGATATACATATATATATGTGTACACACACAATGCAATATTATTCAGTTATGAAAAAGGATGAAATCTTGCCATTTGCAACAACATGAATGCACCTTGAGAGCATTATAGTAAGTGAAATAGTCAGAGGAAGATAAATGCTGTATGATTTCACTTATTTGTGGAATCTAAAAAACAAAGAAACAAACAAAAAATCTAAGCTCATAGATAGACAACGGATTGGTGGTTTGGTGGTTCCCAGAGGCAACGGACGGGAGGGGGTGGTGATGGGCAAAATTGGTGAACGTGGTCAAAAGATACAAACTTCCACTTATAAAACAAATAAGTCATGGGGATGTAATGTACAGCATGGAAATTATAGTTACTAATACTGTATTGTATATTTGAAAGTTGCTAAGAGAGTAGATCTTAAAAGTTCTCACCACAAGAAAAAAAGAAATTCTGTTACTACGTATGGTGGTGGGTGTTAACTAGACTTTTGTGGTTATTATTTCACAATACATAAAAATATCAAATCATTATGTTGTTCACCTGAAACTAATATAATGTTATATGTCAATTATAACTCAAAAAAGTGAAGGAATTTGTCCATTTCATATCAGTTATCAAATCTCTTTGCTTAAATTGTTTATAATAGTCTCTTATTATCCATTTAATGTTATAAATTTCCCTTTAACACTGTTTTGGCTGTCACCCACCAAGTTTGGTTACATTTTCATCCAGTTAAAAAAAATTCTAATTTCCCTTGTAATTTCTTCTTTAAGCCATGCTAAATCATGGGTTTGAAGTGTGTTTTTCAAATATTTGGGAATTTTCCAGATATCTTCATGTTACAGATTTCTAATTTAATGCTATTGTGGTCAGAGAATATACTCTACAATTTCAATCCCTTTAAATTTTATTGAGACTTGTTTTAGGGCCATAATATCGTCTACTTTTGTGAATGTTTAACGGGCATTTGAAAAAATCTCTGTTCTTGTTGGATGTGGTACTCAATACATGTGAATGAGGTCAAGTTAGCTCATGATATGGTTTGTCTTCTATATCCTTGCTTGTTTTCTGTTTACTTGTTCTGTGAATGAGATAGGAGTACTGATCTCTAAATATAATTGTTATTTTATCTATTTCTTTTTCACTTCTGCTGCTTTATGCTTCGTCTATTTCGGAGCTCTGTATTAGGTACCTATACGTTCATTACTCTTGTCTTGTTGTAATACTCACTTATCATCATTATAAAAAGTGCCTCTTTGTCTTTAGCAATATTCCTTGTCTATTTGCTTCATAGTAATAGAGCCATCGCAGTTTTCTTTACTTTCTATTTATATGGCATATTCTTCCATTCTTTAACTTTAACCTATTTTTGGTTTTGTATTAAAGTTTTTCTATTATACATAGCGTATAGTCCATCTTGATATTTATCCAGTCTGATAATCTCAGTCTTTTGGTTGGAATTTTAGTCAATTTGCCTTTAATATCATTATTGATATGGTAGGATTTTGGTCTATCATTTTGTATTTGTTTTTGAATTTTCTCATCTCTTTTTCATTTTTATTCCTCCTTTCCTACCTTCCTTTATTTCAGGCACATATTTCTTGCTCATGATTATAATTCTTCTTCTGGCTTTTCAGCTATATTTATTTTCATTTATTTTTTATTGTTGTTGTAAGAATTGAAACCTGCATTTTTAACTTTTCACAGTCTACTTAAGGTGACATTGAATTACAACCAGGAAACAATAGGAAACTTGCAGCAATATAGTTCTGTTTAACCACCTTTATGCTATTGTTATATACATTACATCAATATACATTATAAGCACAATAATGCAGTGTAATACTTTTTTTAAAGTCATATATCTTTTAAAGAAATTAACAAAAATGTACAGAAACAGAATATTATGTACAATTTCTGTCATTAGTTATTCCTTTCTGTATGTAGGAGTTATCATCTAGTGTAATTTTCCTTCATCTTGGAGGACTTCCTTTAAAATTACTTCAGTGCAGGACTGCTAGCAATGATTTCTCTGTTTTATTTATCTAAAAGTATCTTTGCCTTTTTTATCCCCATTTTTAAAAACTTCTTAGAGCTTTACATAAAATGAAATTCACCAATTTTAGATGTGCAGTCACATGAATATCAGTAATTGTTTAGAATCATGGAACTACTATCATGATGAACATATAGAACATGTCATCTCACATTCCAAAAAATTTTCTTAGTCTAAGAAGCATCTGCATGCCTCTTTGTATTTGATCCTCTCTCCCTACCCCCAGGCCTAGACAACTACTGATTACCTTTCTATTTGTAATGGTGTAATTTCTCAATCTATTAGATTTTATCATTATGAAGTGGCTCTTTTTATCTCTAGCAATGGATTCTGTTTTGAAGTCTGGTTTTTATCCTGATATTAATACATCCACTTTAGCCTCCTTATGGTTACTGTTTACCTGGCGTATCTTTTTAGATCAATTTACTTTCAAGCTGTGTCTTTAGATTGAATGTGCATCTCTTGTAAGCAGCACAGAGTTGGGTTTTGTTTCTTAACCTATTCTGACAATTTCCGCCTTTTAATTGGAGTGGTGATCTGTAAGGTTTATTGTAGTTGTTGATATGATAGATATTAACTCTAATGTGACATTTTTTTCTGTTTTGGGTTCTTCTGTCTCTCCTTTCCTGTCTGACAACTTCTCATCAGAAACCATAGAGCCAGAAGAAAGTGGAACAACACCTTTAATGTCCTAAAAGGAAAATATTGTCAACCCAGAATTCTATATCTACCAAAAAGGTCCTTCAAGAATGAAGGCAAAATGAAGAGATTTTTAGGTAAAGGAAATGAGCAGAATTTGTCACCATCAGACCTGTACTATAAGAAATGGCAAGTGAAGTTCTTCAGGCTGAAAGCAAATGACATCAGAAGGAGACTCAGACTCTCAGAAAAGATGAAGAGTATCAGAAATGTCATATATTTGGCTAAATGCAAAAGTCTATCTCTGCTTTTTTT